TTAAATTGTTAAAATGAATAATTAATTATATAGATTATATTTGGGTTCTTAAAATAACCTATTATTATTAGATTTTTTTTATTTTATGTGTTTTAATAATAATAATTAATAAATTAATTATATATAATTTTTTTTCCAAATCCCAGGGACCACCGCCCCCTGGTCCCCATGTGGCTCCGCCACTGACCTCACTGTCCAACATCGCCTCTCCTAAATTCCCTGCATTTTGAGTCCGCACTCCGCAGAATCCGCCTCTGCGGCTGCTGCTGCTCTGACATTCTTCAGCGAGACATCTCTGGAGCCTAGCCTAGCCTAGCTACCAAAAATCAACTCAAGTCTCAAACTGATTTCCCTTCCCTCACCTGCTGCAAACACACAAAAACACTCTAAAGCTTTCAAGGGTATTTACAGAAACACAATATGTATGTATATGTTTACTATATATGGTAAATTATATTGGGTTGTTTGATATCGATCATCTGTTAGCAACCAAAGAAACAAAAACTTGAGAGTAGTTATTTTTACCATATATAATAATAAAGATATATAGAGCTTGAAGAAAAAGTTTTGCCTTGCTTAGGCCCGGGCACAAGTAAGAAATCTTTCTGGAGACTGATAATGAGAAGGAGAATTGTATGATCAAATAAAAGACCTTTTTGACTAAAGATGTTCTTTGCGATAAACTATTAGAGGTGGGACTAATAACTTTTTGACTTCAAAGAAAACAAACTGCATTATATCGTGAATGGAAGAGATACTTTTTGATCAGTGACCAAATCCAGTATTTCAGATCTTTTGGTCCTTCAATCGCTGGAAAGGAGAATCTACGTGTGTTGGCAAATAGATTTGAGTCAAAATTCCTATATACGAAAAGTGCTGAGAGGAAAATGAAAGCAAACTCATCTGCTATATACTTTTTCTTTGAAAACAAAAAGATTTCCTCTGACTAAATCTGAACTCAAATAAACAAACAAAAATTGCCAGTAAAAAAAAAAAAAAAGGAGAAAAGGGTCAATGCAACCTTTTTTCTGAAGTTATATATGCATTAGAACATGCAAACTCTTCTCTGTCACTTTGCGAAAAAGCTAGATACTTATGTTTATGTTATTTTTAACGTATTATATGTCTTTATCTTTAATAGTTTTAGTTTGAATTTTAATTTTTTAAAACATAAATTTTAAATAAAATTTAAAATATTATGTAGATAATTATTAAAATTTTTAATTAAATAAAAATATTTAACAAAAAGTACATATGTATAATTTATTTGTTATTTATATAAATAGCTAGATACTTATGTTTATGTTATTTTTAACGTATTATATGTCTTTATCTTTAATAGTTTTAGTTTGAATTTTAATTTTTTAAAGCATAAATTTTAAATAAA